CGCGTATTGCGTATGAACGTGGACGAAGTACACAGAGGCGGGGGTCAAGAGGAGCGCGTTGACGCGTCGACGCGTCGACGCGGGGAAAACACGCTCATGTGACTTCGTCGACCATCATCGTTCTGAGACACAGCATATTGCCCACTACTGACATGTACAGTCCCCAAGATTTGTACAGACTGTCTACTTTAGACTAATTCTCCCGTTCTTACCAAAGTAAGGCTTTATTCCGAGAACAATTGCTCGATCTAGGATAAACTGGTGAGCAAACAATGTTGATTGAAGCGAGTCAGCGCATACCGTCGAGAGCTTTGCCTTCTCATGAGCCAAATCGGCCTCAAGCTCTAGCTTGCGAGCCGAAATAGCCGCATGATGTGCATTGAGACATCTTTCCAAGTCCTCGTGCATTGTAGGTCTTGACCACGACTGCACTATGCCTGTCTTACAAGCATCATCTAGCACGGCATTGTTAACACGGCACGCAATATGACTGCCGTAAAACCCTTACTCAAGGTCTCCTCAACATATTCGTCTGTTCTCTTCTGTTCTGCCTCTTTGAGCAAGGTGATATGCTGCAACTTTTGGTTCACTGGTATGACATCAGCAAATGGTATACGAACATAAGAGTGCAGTACTCACAGCACGCGAGTTCCTCTCTCTCGGGGAGAGATTGAAGGTCATGTATCGGTCCTTCCCAAGCCGAGGACAGGTCAACTACGGGCACTTCAGTCTCAGGCTGCACCATCCGACTGCGCAACTGCTCAGTCAACCGAGAATGTTCAAGGGCAAGCCGCTCTATTTCGGCACGTGCACGAGCTTCGAGCAATGCGAAGAGTTCATTATCCTGCAATGGCGCAAGCGCAACTGGCACCGGAGTCTTTGCATCCTGGGCATCTATCAGTGACCGCCAAGCTTCACAACAAGGGTACGTACCGTATTCGAGGTGACGTGGCTGTTGTGCCTGCGGAGAACCTCGATGAGAGCGCGCAAACGTTGATCGACGGCCTCTTGTTTCCCGGCCAAGTCCGAGGACAGTAGACGATCACCGAGCAGCGCATGAGACAGCGCATTAGCGACGAGAATACCGCAGCTAAAACCGTCGCTCTGGCGGGTGATAGGCAGGGTGCGGATTTTGAACGGGCTTCCCGCATGGGCTTCCGTCCACCAGCGCAGAATGTCGCGTACGGAGCGAGGGATGTCGCCACCAAGCGAGTCTCCGTGACGCACTTCATGGCTGGCAAAGTCAATGGTAACTGCCACCCAGTGCAGTTGCCCGATGTTGACCGGCATCGCCAACAGACCCTTGCTTGCCGAGAGTTCGGTACCGAGCTTGTAGACCCAGGTGGTCTCGCGCCCGTAGAGTTCGCGTTCTTTGTAGATCTGCTCCAATTTCGGAAAGAAAAATGATGATTGGAGGGTCTTGAATGTAGACGAAGAGTGCATCAGAAGGCGCAGTCTCGTCAGCGCGAGTAACACAGCCATCTGCTTGTCGTCAAGCCAAGCCTGGGTGAGAAACGCGCAAAGAATGGTGAGTGGCGTCTCGCTTTTAGGCAACTCGGGAAAGCCGCGTAGCGCCCGAGACCACGGTGTAGCACGCAAAGCCTGCATAGTCTCGACGGACAGTGGCATCGTGCTGGAGCCATTGCCCACCTTTTTGGAGCGAATCTCCATATATGTTATCATGGCGCTGTTCCAGCATTGATAGTGAGGTTGTATGTGGTAGTACGATGTCCAGAGAGTGATGATCCACAACGGGACTGTGATAACTGTTGGCGCGGGTACGAGGTACTCCGTTTTGATGGAGAGGCAGCCCATGCGGACATAGTTGGGTGCCAACGAGGCGAGCCTCTGCACTATGTTCTGTGGTGGAGGGGGGATGGCGCGGACGAAGGCGAGATCGCAGTTAGCCGGCGGTTGCATCGTGAAGAGGGGGTCGAGAGCGTGGTCGTCCATGCTGTTCCACTTCTCCGTCATCTGCGGGGTCAAGGCGCTCGGGAAGGGCGTGGCGCAGAGCTCGACTACGGATGCATGCGGGGAAATCCAGTCCGCGCCCTCGGGCAAGGAAAGTGCATCCTTTGCGCTCGGAACGCCAGCGTTCTCCCAGACCCAGGCGGGGCAGTTATCGGTGGCCATGGCGCAGAGGGAAGACACAGTGGTGGTTGTGCAGAAAATACTACTTTGGCATGATCATACTCTAAAACCCGTAGAGTACATCTCTTGACACCTTCCATGCCTCGTTGTATGCAAGCGAACACCGTTGAGAGGCATCGTATCGAGTTGCATTTGAACGCGCAAAAGGCACACCAGCGACCAAACGCGGACAGACAAGTGACGTCAACAAATCACTCTCACGCTTGTCGGCGGCCCGTGTTGCTTCCGCGACCAGTAGACCGACTGCCCAGTGAGGGCGAGCCTCGTCTCGACTCGGAAAGCCAAGGCTCGAAGGTGTCCCGTTCAATGGACGAAGGCCGCATAAACCGTACGGCCCGCGTGCAGCATGTCTCGAGTGATGGGGCTGCGTCAGCCCCGCCGCGGGGAAAACAAGGGGCAGGTTTGACTTCTGTCAGCGAAAAGGCAGTCGGAAGCATGTGGTGACCGAAGGGGCCGAAGAGAACAATGGCACCGATCTCAACAGGCATTTGTCCTGCCCCGAGTCGATATCTCTCCCTAGCTGAGCTCTCTCTGGCTGTGTTTGCGCAGGCAGCAGTCGGGCAGTGTCCTCTCAGCGATGGGAAACTGCGCGGAATGGGCAACGCAGCCGAGACAAAACAGGGCGAAAGGTGACTACTGGATTCTTAGAAGTGAAGTACATTTGGCGCAATCGCTGCTAGGATGTGGCGATAGTAAGGAGCATTCCAAATATGCTGTGGCAACCAGTGTCGGTCACATCGGCAAGCAGCAGCTACCAAGACGACCTCCAAGTGAGGCGGTGTCAACAAGATATTATATCAGATATATCACTGTGCGAGCGAGAGACGCGGACGACGCTCATTCGTCGCGGCGATGTAAGGCGGCTTACGTGCGCAGATACGCGCGCGCGACGCGCTGCGACGCGTGCCTCCACTCAAGTCAACTGCTTGGTTCTCTCCTGCATGCAGCTTTTATCCTTTCTCATCGCTGCACTAGCTGCACAGCTAGTACATGCTCAAGAAAAATACCGCCTGCTGCATCGGCTGCATGATCCCTCTAAACCTGGAGCGTCTTTCTCCCGACGCGCCGAGGTTGCTTTCTCCGCGGGGAAGCCTTTAATCGAGGATGAACCGTCTTTCGCCGATGTCTGGCAAAACTTCATACAGAGCTCGGAGATCGGGCCAGATACTTTGTATCAGGTCGCGCTGGCCACATCGAGGGGACACCCACGAGACTACTCGTCAGTGAAAGCAGTGCGTCGACCTGTGACTCGCACCAAGCTCAGTCTGAGTTCAACTTGCGATTAGTGCCACTTGCGCGCAGGCAGCGCGGAAAACATCATCTTCCACTTTTCCTCGGTGAAGGATGAGCTTCCCTACGCCCTCGACCTATTCGTGTCTCCCATCCCTCACGACGGGTCATGCCCCCCAACATCCGCTCCCTTGGTAGCGCCGCAGAACACTAGCTACACTGTGGCGTACCCACGGCACCCACCACTGTGCGTTTTCCCAAATACTAGCCATGCGTACTTTCTCAAGCTCTCTGACAGGCCGGAGCTCCGTGCGCCCCCTCCCGTGACCGAGCAAGGCGAACCGGTCAAGCCGCCAGAAGAGAAGTCGTTCTTGCAGAAGTATTGGATCTATATCGCGATTGTCATGGGTGCTATGTGTACGTTATATACGTTCTCGACGCATGCTGGTACTGAGTCTTCGTTTCGCAGTGATTATGCCCGGTCCACCAGAGGAAGGACAGGGAGGAGGGGGAGGTGCAAGACGATGAGCTTGCAGACGTGTACCTTCAACCTTGTTCTTCGGAAATGCAAAAGGATAATTTACTAGAGGGAATGTATACACATACTAGTAGGTGCATCGAGGTGTAGTAAGTACAGTCCCTCTGGACTTGGTCGACTCATCGTGCCACTGGCACTCGCATCCCACGCGGTATATCCCTACGACAACTTCCCACACAAATACCCCCGCTACGCCTTGGTTGGCTGCAACCCAGCGGACGACCAACCAGCGACCCCCGCACATCTCCGAGACCAATATCTCCGTTCACGCGTGCCTGCCGCCCCGGGCCGCACAGATATCACATCTCACAATCTAATCAAAACGCAGTTCCTCTCCCACCCTCCACGATGCTCACCATCCGCCCCGTCCGCGAGAGCGACGCCCCCTCCATCGCGAACATCTGTCTCCTGACCGGCAACGCCGGCGCGTCCGCCGAACACCTGCACTCTTCCTCTCGCCGCGATCTGCTCGGCTCGGTGTGGGCGCTGCCGTACGTGCACCTGCCGCATACGTTCGGCTTCGTGCTCGTCGACGATGCGGACGATGTGCCGCAGGGATATCTGCTCGGTACGACCGACTCGCTAGCATTCGCGAAAGTTGAGGAGGAGCAGTGGTGGCCGCCTCTGCGCAAGCGATACCCGCTGAACGCATCGGACGACGCGCCCGAATCCGAACCGCGCACCGAAGCCGACCAGCGCTACATCTCGCTCATCCACCGCGCGCCCGACGCGCCGCACCCCGCCGCATTGGCGCTCAGCCCAGTACACATGCACATCGACCTCCTACCCGCCGTACAGCGTCAGGGCTGGGGCCGCAGGATGATCGACGCCGCTGTGACGCATCTGAAAAAGGAAGGGTATGGGGCGCTGTGGCTGGGGCTGGACCCGGCGAATGAGAGCGCGGATAAGTTTTATGCGAGGTTGGGCTTTGAGGGGATTGAGGGCGCGCCGAGCAATGTGCGCGGTTTGCGGTTTGAGAGGTGGGCGGCGTGAGGGCGTGGCACTTTGGTGGCACTGGGGACAGTCATGTGTTCGATGTTGTGTACGGGCGGATGTGGTACTGATGCCGTGTGTGGGCGCTGCGTTGTGTACGAGTTGATGGTCAGATTGCAGCGGTCAGAAGCGAATGGGTGTGCGGGCGCGAAGTTTGGACCAGTGAAGCCCGGCCTGCGATATGCTATGCCGATCCAATGCTGGGATCTCTGATATCTTCCTAGAGCTGTTCCGCACATACATACGAGCCCATGAACGTCCGACCGTCTATCATATCATATCATGATGCAGACGCTGTTGTAGATCGCTGTCACTAGAAACCAATGGACTTCTGAGAACTGCTATGTATGACACCGTGAGTAAAGCGGCCGGGCGGGGGTACTGTGAGAGAGATGTGGCGGCCAACGGGATTGGACGCAGCCTCGAGGCTTGATTCAGAGCGCGCTATTGCGATTTCCCAGACGTAGTCGCCTGACCGCCGCCGGCTAGTTAGGCATTTGGATAAGCTTGGATGAGTAGAGTACGTATACACCACAGGAACCTGTGGCGTCAATCTCTAAAAATAAGAATACTCCAACCCGTACACCGCCCACAACGGCTTCGGAGCAGTACCTCAGTCACGCGCGGCCCGAACAATGGACAATAGACAAGTATGATCTCACCGTGCCCCATATCAAGTAGCTTATCGAACAGCAGCGGCACGATGCAGGCCCGTCGATCTCTCATTCATACTATTCATACTCCGGCCAAACAAACTAATACATCATCGCGCACGCAACACGCACACGCAGACGTCACGCCAGGGCCGGTCGGAGAGACAAACTTGGAACCTCGGGGGCGGGGACAACGACGGCCTAAGTCCGTAACACGACTCTCGGAGATCGGCCAAGGTCATCCGAAGGGCGCTTCATCGTGAACGTTGGTTGGACGGTGGACAACACGACAAGTCCACCCTGACCGTCTATACAATCGCAAGCTAGTACACTTCTTTTTGATCTGCTTCTACTTCTCCACGATACGACGTCCGCCGGCCAACCACGGCCAGCGACCCTTTTAACGCTCCAATGAGACGGATTAGAAGCGCACGGCGGGCGCCTTCTCGACGTTTTCGATGGGCGTCTTGTGCCCGACGAGCGTGCGGATGTTGTTGATTCCGTACCTGCGTAGACGCGCGTGTTAGTCGTTGATTCATCTCCGGTTTCCGTTTTGCCCGACGCAGCGCGAGCAGGGAAGGTGCAAGGTTGAAGGGGTACGAGGACGAGGATGGGGATATGGGGATGGGGATAGAGATGAAGAGACGAAAACGCACTTGATCATCGTAGGCCGCTCGAGCGATATCCCCCACCCGTGCACATGCACGTCGTCCGGGAAGCCCATCGGCTTGAGCATCTCCGGCCTGAACATCCCGCTGTTCCCGATCTCGACCCACTTGTGCAGCTGCGGGTGGAACGCGAAGATCTCGAGCGACGGCTGCATCGCACATCATGCATCGTCAGTACCTCAGTCTAACTCTTGAAGTCGAAAGCGAAAGGGAGGAAGAGGAAGAGGAAGAGAGATGTATGTACCTCGGTGTACGGGTTGTACGCAGGCTTGAACCTAATATTCGTAATCCCCATCTTCTGGAAGAACACGCGCATGAACCCGATCAGGTCCGCGAGCGTGAGGTGCCGGTCCGCGACGACGCCCTCGACCTGGTGGAACTCGGCGAGATGGGTGGCGTCCATCGTCTCGTTCCGGAACACGCGGTCGATGCTGAACAGCTTCGCCGGCCGGAACCCGTCGTTCGCTTCACCGGCTTTACGCTCGACGCGGCCGCTCGTGCCGCCGTAGTCGAAGTCCTCGCTGTCGTTTATGTCCTCGCCGCGGCATTTCGCGGCGAGCTTGTACAGCATGTGCGCCGAGGACGCGGTCGTGTGCGTGCGCAAAAGCAGCCTGCGCGTCTCCGCGTCCGACCACGGCGCGCGGTACCCCGTCGACCCATAATCCCCCCGCTCATGCACCTTCGATACGCGCTCATAATACTCCTTCGGCGGCGCTAGACTCTGCGCGGGGTCGGCGAGGTAGAACGTGTCCTGCACGTCGCGCGCGGGGTGCTGCTGCGGGACGAAGAGCGCGTCGAAGCACCAGAAGCCGGACTCGACGAAGGAGGACGTCGGCATCTCCGCGAAGCCCATCTCGAGGAAGATGGACCGGAACTCGTCGCGGACTTTGAGGAGCGGGTGCAGGGCGCCGCCTGATGTGGGCAGGCCTTCGGCGGCGAAGTTGTATTTTTTGAAGGGCGCGGTTTTCCAGGCGCCGCTAAGGGTTGATGATCAGCACTTGATCGGGGAGTATGGATGGTAGAATATGTACGATGTTAGCATGTCGACTGTCAGATCTGTCTCGGGTTTTGCGGTCGAGGTGCTGAAATTGGGCCCTTTGTGCACGGTGAACCACTGGCCCTTCCTAGTCATTGTTCAGGGCGATTAGATGTATACTGTGGGCGCGCACGCACCTCTTCTCTACGAGGCTGCGTTTCCGCAGATCGGCGAGCACGTTTTCGCCCGCGCTGAGCGATCCGGTCGCCTCGACCTCGCGCAGCTGGATCTGAGTCACGTCCTCGATGGACGTAGCCTGGCGGCGCTAAGGACGTCGAGGAGGAGGAGGGCGGCTGGCAGGACGTACGGTCTTGACGAGCCCCGGACCGTCCTTGGCGATCCACTTGTTCTTGAACGCGCGGCCCTGCCCGATCTTCGCCGTCTCGTCCCCGACGAGCTTCTTGAGCTCTGCCGGCGGCACGGGCGCGCCCTCGCCCTTGAGCGGCAGCGCGGCCCACACGCGGGCCTCGTGCGAGCCGTGCTGGGCCAGGAGGGCGCCCTCGGCGGTCAGAACGTGCGAGAACTCTTCGTGTGTGTCGTAGGCGATCATCTGTATTCAAAGATCAGAGAGCGCTGAGATGTGTGTGTGTGCTGGGACTGGCCTCGCGGGAGACGAGCGAGTTGAGGGCGCCGAGGATGACGATCTGCGCATCGTTCGATGTGGCCGGCTTGTCGCTGCCGGGCGGGACGATGGCGCGGGTGTCGGGGATGGATCCGTGGGCGTCGAGGGCGTCGAGGATCTGCTGCTGGAGGTCGGCCATCGGAGTGAAAGAGAGAGTGACAAATCAGTGATGTGAGCGCCGGCGGCGAGCCGAGACTTGATTTATTTGGGCACGCGCGGCTGTTTGTGATTCTTGAACCCCCGCCATGGCCTCCTCCTGCTCGCTGACCGTCCCCGCGCCCCCCAGCCGTCACCGGGCGTCTAGCTGCACAAACATAAGGCCCGCGTTAACTCTGGCCACCCTGGGTTCGCGGCCAAAGTCTTCAGCAGTACAATTAGACGAGCCTGTGCCCTGTACGCCGCCGGCAAACGTCCTGTCGGCCAAGACATCCGCCGAGCCCCCTGTGTCGTCCCGGTTATCTGCGCTCGCCGACAAGTTCGTCAGCATGTACTCCGCCAGCCACCCCGTGCCCCCGCCCCTGCTCCCTCCCACGCCCTCAGACTCGGCCCGCTCCTCAGTGGACGACCACTCCTATGTGTCCTCGCCCTCCACCACCCTCGTCGGCGAAGACGTCTTCTTCGACGAAAAGGCCGTCCAGTCGTCGCGCCTGAGGTCGCGCGCGCGGACATGGCTCAAGGACTCGCCCTCGGTGCGTCGCCGCGCTGTGCGAACTGTTGATCGCGGCGCTTACGGCTAATTATCCAGGTCCACGCCCCGCTGCTGTTCGTGTTCATCGTCTTCCCCCTGTCCACCGCCGCCGTCATCCTCGGCTTCTGGTCCCTGCCCTTTTCCTTTTCCTGGCCGCAGAACATCACGGACCTCGCCCAGCTCGGGCGCGAGCTCCGGGGGTATTCCAACTCGGGCTCCGCAGAGTTCGCACACGTCTTCGGCGTGATGGCCATCGCCACAATCTGGATGCACGCCTGGTCCGTCCCGGGAAGCGTCCTCTGGGTCAGTCCTCTTTCCCTTCTTCGCTTCTCTCATCTCATCGGGTTCAATTTAGAACGTCCTCGCCGGCGCATTATTCTCGCCCGCGCTGGCAACGGTCGTCTTCGCGCTTCTCACGACGCTCGGCTCCATCTGCGCGACGCTCCTCTCGACGCCCATCGCGCCCTTCATCACCCACTTCTTCCCGAAAGCGCTCAACGCCGCCCGCGGCGCCTTCGAGGGCGACGCGCGCACGCCCGTCTGGATCCGCGTCACGATCCTGCGCCTGGTGGGCGTCGTGCCCTGGTCGGGCATCAACGTCGCGTGCGGCGTGATCGGCGTCCCGATCTGGGACTGCTTCGTGGGGACCTTCATCGGCTCCATCCCGTGGACAGCCGTGACGTGCCAGGCGAGTCTATTTCCACTTGCGCTCCAGCTTGTCAATTGTGCTTGTGCTTATGACGAGTGTTGGATGTAGATCGGCGACATCCTGCAAACGGTCGTGGCGACGCCCTCGCCCAACCCGCAGACGATCTCGTCCATCCTGATGTCGCCGAGCATCATCGTCAAGCTCGCGCTGCTCTCCGCGCTCTCGCTCGCGCCCATCCTCGGCCGCGACTACCTCCGCTCGTGGCTGTCCCCGGACGACGTCAGCGATGTGGAGGAGCGCGCGTCGAGATGGGCGTGGGTGGCCGAGTGGCGCTCGAAGGTCCGCAGCATCTCGCCTTCGCGGTCGCGCGAGCGGGAGCGGAAGAGCAGCGAGGACGATGTGAGGATGGAGAAGGAGCTCAGTTTGTCGTAGGCGGCTCGAGGGTTATTTATGTATCCTGCTTTTGCTCTTTGGCTGAGATGTTGCTACTCATCATACCCCATGTCCTCGCTTTCCCTTTTTTTCATCGTTGGTACACATGTCGATGTTTCTTTTCTCTTCGTCCTTCGTCCGCTTTCATCCAAGCGCGCTCTATAGCTTTTTCCGTCCAGTGCAATCACAGTCTTGTTTCGCTCCTTTCCATCCGTACATCTTTTCATTCAACCTGCGCTATCCCAGTCACGCACATGCCACCCAATCTGTACTTTTAGCCAGCGCCAGCTCACCATAGCTCCAACTCCAAACCTCAAACCTCAAACCAGTACCTACCTACTACGTTACGCCCCGCCTTTTGACGACCCCGCGATGAACCCCTTCGTCACCCCTACACCCTCACAACCCTCTTACACCTCCTACACTTCCGACAACGCTCTGCACGCACAAGAACTATAGTACTCTCGTATCCCGCGACCCATAATGCCCTACCCCCTCTTCTTGCCCAGTCTTCCCGATCCGATCAATCTACACAGTGCGCCCGCTTTTTTGCTTGGTCGTATTTATTAGGATTAGACAGACGAACGATGATTGACAGCTAACGAAGAAACGATAGGCCACACCTCACAAGGTGTGCGAGTGAACCTGC